CCAAAAAAAAAAAAAAAAACGGAAAAGAAAGCTGTCTGGTCATGGCCAGGCCTCACCAGCACAATTTTATGGGCTCTGTCTTCTTTTCCCAGAATACTCAGGCTCTTCACCCAAGGCGTTGAAAATGCCTTGTTGACTTTTGTCCTCATCTTTCCAGGTCAACCATTCTACGCAAAAGCAAGATGCTGCTTAAATGCAAACCGCATCTGGCCAAGCTGCAGCCGAGGCCCTGAACTCCACTTTGCTCTTAGAAGAGCATTCTCCCCTCCGAGCCTTCACAGACCTCTTGATGGCCGGAAAGGAACTATCCAGACCCTTCTCAACCAGCCACGCCATGGTGGGTGTGGCTTTTTATCCAAAATTTGATCCCTAAATATAGGACAGAGCCAGGTGAGCTGGGGGAAACTGAGGCATCCAGTTTAATGGAAATTGTCTTACCTCTACTCATGGAAGTTGTTTAAAGAGGATGTAGAAGACTTGAACTCAGGAAAGCAAAGTAGAAAGGTGGTTACCAGCGGCTGAGAGGCAAGCTAAGAGGATTGGACAGACGTTGATTTAAGGATATGAATTTGATTTACACAGGAGGAATAATTTCAAGAGACCTATTGACCAGCGTGGTGACTATATGTAAGTGTTCTACCACCAGATAAGTATACTCATTTTTTTTAACCAGAGAGAGAGTGGACCCCACTTTGTGCATTTATTGAAAGGCAAAAATGCTTTTACTTGCACCCTCAGAGGCATTACCTGGTTTGTGTGTGGAAAGACTATTGTAGCAATACAGATGCAAAGAAGTCGGGGGAGGTAGGCTGGGAACTCTGAATACCTCCTCATCTTCCTGAATGCTGGCTTTTGTCTTTGTCAGTGCTGAGTACTTCATTCACATGCAGAATATTCCTATCTTTACAGACCTAAGAGAAGCCCGGCACTAGATTTACAGGCCACCTAATCCTGGTCACCCTCGAAGGTGGAAATCGCTTCATTATAATGCATATAATTCAAAACATCTTCGGGATTTAGACTTCTGAATCTTTCTCTTCCTCAGCCTGTTGACCCTCCTCCCATTTCTACCTCCAGTTCTGATTTCCTGGATTCAAATCTCCTCGGCCTAATTAACATTTCTAATTACATTTCTCCCACTTCAATACCCTAAACAGAATTGGTGATCTCCCCCCAACACCTGTTGACCTTCCCACGCCCCTCCCCGCATCAGCAGGTCCTGAGCACCCCACCCACGCGTCCCTCTCTCCCTTTCACCGGGCTTTAGGCGTCTCTCAACCTCCTCACCATAGGTGCCCCAGCTGATCTGCCCACTCTCGTCCGGCAGGCATCTCTCCTACTTGGTCTCTGCACGGCAGTCCAGGTGACCCCCAAACTTACATCAGGTTCATTCACACTTGCCCTTCTAAAGGGTTTGATGTTGACGTGCGCGCCTGTGATCCCAGTCGCCTGAGACTGAGCGAAAAGGATTCCAAGTTGAAGCCCAGCTGGGTAAATTTAGCTAGACTCTGTAGCAAAGAAAACATTTCAGAAGGGTTGTGCATGTAGCTCAGTGCTAAGGTCCTCGGTTGATGTGTGCTACAATATGGGTGAAACTAAACGTGATGCTGTCGTCAAAGGCCACCGATTGAGGGCCGAATTTGTGTGGGCCGCTCAGGAGAGGCAGATGCAGAGGCTAAGCCCACCGTGGTTGGCAGGGTTTAGGATGGGAATGGAGGGCAAGGAGGGAGAAGTGGCTGCTTGGCGGGGTGGGGGTTTCTTTGGGGGTGCAGGACACTGGCTGTACTAAATACCAGTGAATCGTACACGTGAAAACAATCTTATATTTCCGTGAGTTTTACCACCATTTTTTAAAAGATGGGCTTTCACAGTTTCTCTGCTGTTCCTAAAATAGACGCGAACCGCGGCCTGTGGATCGCTGACGCGCTCTCCTCTGCGGGGCCCCCGCCTGACTGCCAAGCTGCTCCGGAGGACCTGGGCAGCAGAGGCCGGAAGACTGACCTGGGAGGGCCTTTCGGCAGCTGTGGATTTGCTGGAGAAACTGGCCCAAGATGTATGATTCCTAATGTGACTTTCTTAAAAGGCAGAGTTATCAGTATACTATAGCAGAGAAGCGTTCTATCCTTACCTGAAGGAGTTCTTGCACATAGTGTGTTTTAAGCATCTTTCGGTGACCCCCAGACACCACTGAATTGTGGTAATTGCATGGGTTTTATGTCCTTCCCACTGCACAAAGACTCCACTTCTTTTCTCCTGTTTTGAGGTTCTTCCTACCGGTCTTGCTGACTCGTGTCTTCCAATGGCTGCTTCTGTGGCTTGGAATGAACTCTGCCAAGGTCCTGAACTGTGGACCTCACAAAAGCCTGGTGTGGCCTGTGTATGACGCCCTCCCCTGAAGGGGAGATGCTGTGCTGCTGGCGGGATGCTGCCCCAAAGCAGAGCTGCCCAGGGGATGGGTTCAGCTCCAGAAGACGTCCGAGAGGACATTATGTACCCACTTGCCTGTAAGTGACCTGAAGTGTGGACTCAAAATCCAAGCAGAAGCCGGCGTGGTGGTGGTGGTGCACGCCTGTAATCCCAGCCCTCGGGAGGCTGAGGCAGGAGGATCGCTTCGCATTCAAAACCAGCCTGGGCTGCATAGTGAGTTCTGGGTCAGTCTCAGCTACATAGTGAGACCCTGTCTCAAAAAACTAAAAAAGAAAAATCCAAGCAGAAACATTTAATATTGGTGGGAATAATGCGTGTCCCTCACCACCCCTAAGTGTTGACTAATCATTAAGTGGAGAGATTTTACATGTGCTTGAGTCAGAGATTTGTGGAAATTGTTTTTTTTTTAAGTAAATTGTAATTTATTTTATCCCACCCCAAACCCCTTCCCCTCCCTCTGTACAAAAGCTTTATTTCCATTTTTTCCTCCTATTTTCCCATTTTTCTTGTCCCTTCCTCACTCCCTCCTCCCTGTTCCCCTTCCCACCTGAACACTTTCTTCCCCTTTCCCAGCGTCCATTATAAATTTCAGTCCTTGTTACCACTTTCGGTTTCTCACACCAGAGAAACAGTTTGGTATTTAAACATGTGTCCAATTTATGGAAATCCTTTCTTGAACTGGATAATGAGGAGAAATCACTTGTCGCCTCACTACTGGATTTCCTTCCACAGCGCCGTCAATGCACAGAAGCAACTTGCAGAGAATGTGGTAGTCACCAGTGGCTCCTCTGTGTTGTCAGGATTTCTGCACAGATTGTATTCGGTAGAAGAACCAAAATACCAAAGAGTGGTTGGTGCCAAGACATTCCCAGCTTCTGCTCTACCTGCAAAGGCCCGTTGTGTGGCCGGGGTGGGAGGGGCTGTCTCTGGAGCTCAGCAAGACATAGGGTTCAGTTTCAAAGGAATATTATATGGGTCAGGGATTTAGCTCAGTGGCACCACGCCTGCCTCGAAAGTGCAAGGTCCTGAATTTGATCTCTGATACAGAAAAAAAAAAGGAATATTATAATCAGATGGACACACAGCAGATTGGGGCCCTCTCAGTAATTCACCTTTGGAAATGATGTTTGAGTTGGAAAAGCTCAACCACCTCCTATAAAGAAAGCATTTTCAGGGCCGGGGATTTAGCTCAGTCCATTGGTGGCCTGCCTTGCAAGCACAAGGACCCCAGTTTAATCCCCTGTACAAAAAAACAAAACAAAAGAAAGCATTTTTAGTCGGGCGTGGTGGCGCACACCTGTAAACCCAGCACTTGGGAGGCTGAGGCAGGAGGATCTCTGTGAGTTCAAGACCAACCTGGGCTACATAGTGAGTTCCAGTTCAGTCTCAACGACATAGTGAGACCCTGTCTTAAAAAACTAAAACCAACCAAACAAACAAAAAGCTCTTTATATAACTTGTCCTGGGTGTTGCAATCTCTATTAATTTTATTATTTGGGGTTTTGGTGGAGGGGTTTGGTTTTTTGAGACAGGGTCTCACTATGTTGTTGAGACTGACCTGGAACTCACTATGTAGCCCAGGCTGGTCTCGAACTCCCAGTGATCCTCCTGCCTCAGCCTCCTGAGTGCTGGGATGAAAGGCGTGCGCCACCACGCCCGACTCTTACTATTTGTTTTTTTGAAAGAGGGTCTTGCTGTGCAATCACACTGAGGCATGGAACCTCAGCACCACCTCTCAGCACATGTATGCAGTTTTTGTGGGTTTCCTCAAGATTTAGACAGCATAAAAAGACACATGCAGGCCGCGAAGATTTTGCTATCGTAACTTTCCATGCAGCCCAAGCCGTGTTTCCCGGACACCGCGTGTGCTTCTATCTTTGCTCTCACCCTCTTTTTCTCTTTCCTGGGCCCAAGCTCACTTTGCAGAGACAGCCCCTGTGCTTCACTTTTACCTTCTCAAATAAACATTGCCTCTGCTTCATGTTCATTTTGTCCAATTCCTTGTTCAAATAGACAAGGACCCAGGGTCTAACTCCAGAAGGAGAGGTGAACAACCTGAACCTGGTTAACGTTTAGTTGGTAAGCCACGTCTTTTAAGAAATGAGGTACCTGATAACAGAACTGCAAGGGGGGGAGGTGCTATTTAGTGTTTTTAAAAAATACACTTTTATGCCGGGCGTGGCGTCTCACACCTGTAATCCCAGCACTCGGGAGGCTGAGGCAGGAGGATCGCTGGGAGTTGGAGACCAGCCTGGGCTACACAGTGAGTTCCAGGTCAGTCTCAACTACGTAGTGAGACCCTGCCTCAAAAAAAACAACAAACAAACAAACAAAAAAATCAAGTTTGAGCCTAGTCTGGGCAACTCAGTAAGAGGCTATCTCACGATGATATGGAAAGGAGGACGCTGGGGTGTAGATGACTAGGAAGGACCTGGCTTCAATCCCCAGTGTGACACACACGAGAGTACACCCCACATCTTCTCTTGTAGTTCATACTCTTTCCTTCCTTTGCTTTTTTTTCTTTCTTTTTCTTACACTTATTTATTCATTCTCTGGTGGTGCTGGGGATTGAGCTCAGTATATGGGAGCCTTGTTACTCACATGTTCCCCTTCACTTCCAGTTTCCCCGTAATGCCCAACATGAGAGAGGTGAATAGCATGAGTAGTAGTCACACCGGAGCTTGGGGAAATGGCTCAGGGTGACAGCAGTTGCCCAGGCAACTGCTGGAAAAACATCGGAAAAAGATGTTTTTTAAAAGGAGAAGTTTTTTTTGTTTTGTTTTTTGAGACAGGGTCCTACTAGGTAGTTCAGACTGCTCTGGAACTCACTGTGTAGCACTTTGGAGGCTGAGGCAGGAGGATTGCTGCAAGTTCAAGGTCATTTTAGACTACATAGTGAGTTCCAGGCCAATCTGAACTACATAGTGAGACTTTGTCTCAAAAACAAAAGAGAGAAAAGCCTGGCATGTTGGTGCGCACTTGTAATCCCAGCATTTGGGAGGCTGAGAGGCTGAGGCAGGAGGATTGCTATGAGTTTGACGCCATCCTGGGCTACACAGTTAGTTCAAAGCCAGCCTGAACTACATAGTGATACCCTGTTTCAGAATTTTAAAAAGGTGGGGGGGGGACACCAGGGATTTAGCTCAGTGGTGCTGCAGCTGCCTAGCAAGTGCAAGGTCCTGAGAAGTTTGAGCCTCTCGCAAAAACAAAACAAAAGGCATGAATACCAA